AAGAGAAAGACGGCCAGGAGGCAGAGGTCAGACTAGCATCCACACTCAGTCTTCATGATTGTTCCTCTACTACCCACGCCCAAGGTACCGTAATGGTTTAGCTTGGGTTGACTAGAGAAACAAATTCAGAGATACTCAGATATGAGGGAGTACCCACAAAAAAACAAGAATTTTTTTCTAAGCTATATATTTATTTATTTACAAAACAATCTTATCACCTTCAATGTACTCTCCATTACACTTAAAACATTTGTCCAATCTGAGATTCCATTCTTGGAAACATTTTTCAAACTCATCTGTTTGGAGGGCTGACAGCATTTTCCTCTTTTTGTTCTTCACCTCTTCTACATCATCAAATTTCTATCCTTCTGCATTTGTGGAAACAAAAAAGAAGTAGCATGGATCAAGGTCAGGTGAGTAAGGTGTGTGGGGCCAGAGAGGCGTCCTGTTTTGCCAAAAACTGGTGCACTGAGATGGCTGCGTGAGCAGGTGCATTGTTGTAGTGGCAAAACCAGTTCCCTGTCTGCCACAAATCAGGCCTTGTTTTTGGTCGCAAACTGTTATACATTCTTTTAGAACGTCTAAATAGAAAGCTTGATTAAAAGTTTGTCCTGGTGGAACAAACAAATGCACTATGGGCTGACATTTTCATCCATTTGGGAAGTTTGCAGATGTTCAGAATGAGGTTTGTCATCAATCAACATTTCACATTTTTGAAATGAGAAAACTACTTGTACACTTGAGTTTTTTTTCCCATAGCACTGTCCTTGTCAGGTGTGTTCAACATCACAACAGTTCATGCAGCCTTTTTACAGAGCAGGAAACAAAATTCCACAGCCTCATGCTATTCTCTTAAACCGGCCATGCCAAAAAACGAGGTTCCAGCAAACTGTTTTTATGAAATAGTCACTGTAACCAAGGAGACCCTTCCCAGGCAACTCAACTGAGTGCACTAACTCAGAGTGAGTTATTTGATTGCCTAGTCAGAAAAATTCATACTATGAAAGTCCTGATCTGCCCAGAACAATTCCGGGTTTTTTTTTTTTATTACCCCCTAGTATATATAAGAAAGAGATTTATATCAAAGAGTATTGGTATATTAAGAAAACATCCCAGTTCAATCCAGATAAAGTCATAACTCTGATATTATCCCATGAGTCCAATACTAGTCCATAAATCCCTCTTCACACTCAGGCAGCTCATGCAAATATGCAAAATGCAGGAAGATCACAAGCCAGTGGATGCAAAGTCTTGTGGATCCAGTGGCAGTGGAAGCATCTCCAAGGCTCTAGCAGGTCTCAGAGTGGCTCTATGTGCCTTTTCAACAGGAAGGTGAATTCAAAAAAGAGGGGTGCCTGCCGCCAGAGAACCATTGGTTTCTGTTGCCCTCTAATCAAACTGTGACCTTATTGACAGGCTAAACTCCACCCACATGATCCTACAGGAGCCATATTGGCACAAAAAACTTAATTATCATAGGCAGAATTCAGAATAAGGCAATGTGGTCTCATAAAATTAAGAAGAACCCTAGAAAATATTGTAATGTTCAGCAATGCTCCTTATTGCTGAGATACTCGATATTAAGATGTTTTTAGACTAGGATCAGGTGATAGACACTACCATTGATTTTGTTTCTCTAGAGTACTTAAAATGACATTCGGGATTCTAGTATTTTAACAATAGCTGATTGATCTTAAGCTCCTCAAGCCTTAATTTTCTGAGCACTCTACAAGATGATACTTGCATTGTAGGGCCATACCTTATACTCACTTCTAAGCACAGCTGTCCCTCAGTATCCACAGAGGACTGGTCCCAGGGCAACCCAGACCAGACCAGACTCTCTAGGAGCTCAATTCCCTGGTTCAAAATGATATACTGTTTCCATCCTCCAATATATTTAAAACCATCTCGATTGTTTCTAATATAAATGTGATATAAACCGTGCTTTATGCTGCTCGGCTTTAGATTTTGATGCATTTCTTTGACTACTTGATTTATTTTTCCCCCCCAATTTTTTTTCATCCATGGTTGGTTAAAACCACAGATTAGGAGTCCATGATATGGAGGGTCACCATATATAGGAGATTATTTCTATACCTATATATACATCTTTCCCTACCTAACTATATTCTTTTTTTAAAATCGTTTTATTAGGGGCTCATACAACTCTTATCACAATCCATACATACATCAATTGTGTAAAGCACATTTGTACATCCATTGCCCTCATCATTCTCAAAACATTTGCTCTCCACTTAAGACCCTGACATCAGCTCCTCATTTTTGCCCTCCCTCCCCGCTCCCCCTTCCCTCATGAATCCTTGATAATTTATAAATTATTATTTTGTCCTATCTTGCCCTGTCCGACATCTCCCTTCACCCACTTTTCTGTTGTCCATTCCCCAGGGAGGAGGCCACAGGTAGATCCTTGTAATCGGTTCCCCCTTTCCAGTCCACCCTCCCTCTACCCTCCCAATATCGCCACTCACACCACTGGTCCTGAAGGGATCATCTGCCCTGGATTCCCTGTGTTTCCAGTTCCTATCTGTACCAGTGTACATCCTCTGCTCTAGCCAGACTTGCAAGGTCGAGTTTGGATTATGATATTGGGTGGGGTGGGGAGGGGAAGCATTTAGGAACTAGAGGAAAGTTGTGTGTTTCATCGTTGCTACATCGCACCCTGACTGGCTCGTCTCCTCCTACCTACCTATATTCCTACCTGCTGACAATGTCAACACAGGATAAAGCTTGTGATTATTATGATTATTCTTTAAAAATTTTTAAAAATCATTTTATTGGGGCTCTTATAGCGCTTATAACATTCCACACATCAATTGTGTCAAGTTTCTTTGTACATATGTTGCCATCATCATTTTCTAAACATTTACTTTCTATTTGAGCCCTTGGTATCAGCTCCTCTTTTTCCCTCCCTCCCTGCCCTTCCATCCTCATAGCCCCTTTATAAATGATAAATTATTATTATTTTCATATCTTTCACTGACAGCTGTCTCCTTTCATCCATGTATCTGTTGTTCCTCCCCCGGGGGAGTGGGGTGTTATGTGTTGATCATTGCCATCGGTTCCCCCTTCCTTCCTCCCTCTCTTCACCTTCCCTCTTCACTCCTGGTATTGCTACTCCTATTTCTGTTCCGGGGTTCCGTGTGTTGAGACCTTTTACCTGTACCAATAGTGTGCATGCTCCAGTCTAGCCAGAACTGAAAAGCAGGACTGGGGTCATGACAGTGGGGGGTGAAGAAGCCTCAAAGAACCAGAGGAATGTTGTGTGTTTCACATGGTTCTTCTTTTTACAATTGTTTCCTGATGTCAGCATGGCAGAACTTCTTTTTTCTTCCATTGGCAAAAGGCCATGTTTTCAGCCAGAGAATGGTGGCATTCTAAGAGATGGTAGCCTTCATATTTCATGATAATAGTGTAAGTGCCTAACATAAAGACCACTCTTCTTAAGCTTACAGACAGAATATGGCAAGGGAGCAGAAGTCCCCCATTTCCTTTATGGTCAGAGTCATCCCACGAATTTCTCTTTAGCAATCCCAGTTTCAAGTTTGTAAAACACAACTTCTCCAGAGCCCAGTATTAGCAAGCACCAACCTAAGACACCACAAGCTACACAGCCTCTGTTTCACTCTGCAGTACGGCTACTTCCTTCCTCATAAATTAATTCAGTCAATTCAGCTTGGAAATTCTATTGTTGAAAAGCATGTGCTTCCTGTGGGAGTGTCACTCATTGTTTCTTGTCTTGTTGATAAGAGAAGCAGATGTACCTAGGAGGGAAAAATGTGCTTCTCCACTGCAAGTGGCAAGCATGCACCTGTCAAAAGTAATCATTGCATCAGAACAGTCAGATAGGCAGCAAGTGTCCTTGGGTGCTTTATAAGAAAACAGCACACCAATTTGCGTGCGGTTAATGAAACGCCAGACCAAGGAAGGGCTATGCAGCTTCCTCTTCTATCACTTAGAACACTCCTCCATTCCTCAGTTCTATGCAAACTGAGGTCATTCTCACAAGACTTCGTTATTTCCCTCTTCCACTGCTGTGCATTTTCCCGAGTGAGCTTCTCCATTATCTTCATTCATTCCTTCACAAACTTATTCATACAGTGATATCAATATGTTGAGCTACTTCAATAGACGTAACTGCTCAGCCTGTGGGGAATCTACAATCTAGCCACAGTACTAAAATAATCATAGGACAGTGTTTCTTCCCTCAAAAAAACTTTCTGGCTTTACCAACAAACACATAGTGCCCATTAGTGAGCATGTCTCTCTCTGTGACGGTCTATTACTTGATTCAATAATTGTCTCAGATATGGAAGTCTTGTTTCCCAAATGACTGAGAGCTACTTTTAAGAAAGAATCCCTGGCCCAGGAATCTAAGACTGTAACTGAACATTGTTGAACTCACTCTGCCTATTTAGCCTCATCATTCATTCTTATTCCAGATCCACTGTGGTCCTCACCACTCCTGGGGCCACTTCCTCCTCTCCTTCTGTGACTCCGCTCAGAGGGGTCAGAAATGGTTATTATAGTTCAACTCCCAGACTGGAATCTGCCAAATGGAATACTTTTTCCAACTTCAATTGTTCTTTCTATAAACTCTTACAGAAGATCCTTATGAATGATTTCTGAACCCATTTTACTCGCTAAAGGTAATTCTAGTGTATTGTTTATTTTTATTTGCTATTAGTTCACATTATTCTTTTTTTCCAAATATATGGCAGGCTCCATAGAAGCGAAAACCATAACCACATCTTTTTCTCAATGCTGAGTGTGGGAGCCATCCAGGAGCACGTATAAAATACTGGTAGAAATTCAGTAAGGAACAAAAGATGCGCCAAGCCATTACAGAAATCTTGCTTTGACAATATTCCCATTTCAAGTGCAGAGCTTTTAGAAATCACTATTCACCAAAGGCAAAAACATGTCTCATGGATGCAGCAGAAAATTGCTTTCCACATAATTCTAACATTTCAGACCATTACCTGAGTCTTCCATCCTCGGCTGCAGCACCACCTGGTATAATCTTCGTAATAAATATGCCAGGGTCATCTCCAATGTGGGGGTTATCTGTCCCTCCAGCAATACTGAATCCCAAACCAGAATTCCCCTGTGGAAACAAGAAGGAGACATTAACTGATGTGGCTGTCACCTAAAACCTAGTTTCCCTGATACTCCGTGGTATCATCTTACTTCTTAAATGGAAAGCAGGTGATTGCAGTCTTATATCCAAACCAGTAAAGTGCATTGTCAGCATAAAGTCAAGGTCAGGAAGAACACTCATTTGTCTTTCAGTTGCAAGAATTCAAGGGATTTTCCACTTTGGCTTTAAAAGAGGTGCATCTTTTATGCAACAATTAAAGTGATAATCATGAAGTGGTAGAAAACACACACACACACACACACCACCTGGTGTAATATGATCATCTGAAAAGCCCTTAGAGTAAAAAAATTTAAAAATCATTCATTCATATGGAAAAGAAATGAAATGAAACTAACTATTTTTAAGTATTGCAACGGATAGAGTAGTGATATTCAGGTATTTTTATTTTACAACTTCCAGTATCATTTTAATAGTGTTCATTCATAAAATAAAGGTATTTCTAGGTAAAAAGAAACTTCAACTTCAAAAGGCAGGACACTTTTCTGCAGTCATAATGCATCTGAGGCACATTCCATCAATACACAGAGTTTAATTTGCCATAGAGATCAGCCAGATGTGCTATGCAGCCGCAACATATCCATTTGAGTAGTTTATACTCTAATAAAATGTTTATACTTAATCAGATTGCAATAAATGACATCCAATGAACATCTACCTTTCAAAAATTGGTATGGAAGATACAATTTAAAATCCCTCCAAAATTCGCAAATCATTATACTTAAAAAATCCAAATGTTTATTTACATATCCACTTTTATTCTCCATCTTGATGACTACATTATTTCCAGAGCTGTGTTCTTATTTTTGTCCAATGCATATTTTATTTTAAGCAGTTCCATACAACTAAGTAGACTCTATATTATATTTATACATGGACTTTATATTATATTCTTTCAAAATGGCTGTTTTCAAGGTCAGATGGTTACATTTACTTAACGAGTCTCTTTTCATTGGGCATTTAATTCTCTCTATATTCATACAACAAATGTGGGTTGCTAAACTCTGTGGCAACTGATAACATTTAGTAAAAGAGATGAGAAATAATAACTTAATGTTTGATCTAGAGACAGTAAGTAGGGTACTCAATTAGAAAAGTTCCATGTCAAGATAGGATCACCTATAACTGGACAATTACACCACTGCGAATGTCAAGGTAATGTTTAGCAATTTTTATTGACGGAGTAAATACAACTCTGAATTCCACGGGGTTGTTTTTACAGCTATACATTTATGTTGAAAGGTTAAAATTAATAATTCAGCAAAGTCAATAAAATCTCATGTCCCTATGTTTCTAACATCTTCCCTAATTCCATTTGGTCTTTGAAAAAAATGTCCAAGTTCACCGAACAGAGATCTGACTTCTTAGCAGTCATACAACTGTGTGCTTATTCAGAATACACTAACCACTAATCCTGTGCCTGGCCCTGCCCTGAACCCAGAATGCAGCAGTGAAGATATCAGAGTGGGGGTGGGGGCAGAGCTCAGGAACAGGTACCAGGAGAAGGCAACATAGGCGCTTTTCCTCAATGATAAATAGCGCTTAGATATTGGAAAGGAGTCAGGATGGGAAGCCAAGAGGAGTACAGAATGCTCCAGGAAAAAGGGAAGGAGATAGATAAAATCTTCCAGGTGAGAAATAATATACCAGGTCCAAGGAACAGACAATAAAGCTGGAGCAAAGAAAGCAAGGAGAATTGGATGAGATGAGCCTGGAATCATGAGATGTTGTGAGCTGAGTGTTAAGTCAAGTCATTGTGGGTTGTAAATACCTATTACCACCACATGACAATCAGTATTGGCTGAGAATCTCCTATATGACTGAGTTAACGCGTAAGGATTATTAAAACCTGACAATTTCTTCCTTCATAAACTTTAAATCATGGCAGAAAAGGCAGTGATAGTCTTACAGCTGGTTATCAGAACATCCCCATTGTAAATGTGCTGTTCTATTACAGAGCTAGTCACCAAGACAGCATTCAGGCGATTTAGCAGGTAGTTTCCCGGAGATGTAGATGTTTTGAATGGGAAGATGGGCATCTTCAAGTTGAGTCTGGAGGCAAGAGCTTATTCATTTTACTAGAACTAGGAACACAGGGATTAGAATTTATTGATTGAGAAAAAGAATTTATTAATTGGGAGGTGAGACGGGAAGGCAAGCAGAGACAGGGAGATACTCTAATACTTTCTCCTAAAATATTAATGTGTTTGCAGAAGGTACTTAAAGCTTGCTATTTGAGAATGATATTCGTGACTAGATCCTATGGTTACCTCTTGTTATTTCCATTTCACACTGAACTGAACTGCTGGCTTGCTCATGCACAAAGCACACTCTAACACATCTCAAGGCATTTCCTAGTGCGCTCTACCGGAAACATCCCATCTTCCCCTTCACTAGTCCAGTTCTTCCTACTTTGGTACTTCTTAAATGATCATCCTAACTCATCTACATAAGAAACCCCTCTTATTCTGATTTTTGTATATGCCTACAGGCTGGTCATTGGACATAAGAAACACAGGCATCTGTTGACCAGAACCCATTGAGATGTCAAACTGGAGCCTAAAGCTGCCTTCTGAGACTTAGGCTTGTTGTGTAGAAAAACTGCTCTTGCCAATTGAAAAAAAAAATTAAAGTGAAAGGATACTTTAAAAATCTATAAATCAATAGATTTTTGAAGGAACAGCTTTGATGACAATCTAGCAATTTTTCACCACTGTTTTTAGAATCGACTCCGATATGCAGAACACGGTACTTCCACTATCCTGATGTACTTTTCTCCCCAGCCCCCAACTCATTGAGGGAAAACACCAAACAAAACCAATAGGTCAGGGAGTCCACCATGAAACTAAGGCCCGAGTTAGCATGGAAAGTAACTAGTACTATGTTCCCATTCACCAGGATTTCCCAAAGCATTTGTTTTTCAGTGAAAGCTAGTCCACCAGCTGGGGCTGGCTTCGCCACTATCGTTCTTTGGAAGAAGCGCATCCGAATTCAGCTAAGAAATCATTTCCAGGGCTTTCCCACCTCCTGTAATTGTGTTCCCAGCCTCTCCCTTCCCGTCTTTGCCACTCACAAGCAGTGTTCAGCGGAGAGGACTGAGCGAAAGCAGCCAGGAAAGTGCAGCCTGCTACTTCCCGTGGCTGAGCCACTCCTGCCCGACAGGCAGTCACTATCTCAGATCGGGCCGCTGCAGGGGCAGGTCCCAGTGCCTTTCTCTGAGCAGCGGTCTCTCCATGTTAACCCACATTTTCAGACTCTGTAAATTGTGACTAATTAACCAAGTGGTGGTCTTTGACCTACTCATTAGAAACTGTGAGATGACATGCTGGTGAGGGCAGCCCCTGAACAGAATTCTGCATGGAATGCTGTGTTCCTGCAGTTGGGTAGATTCCCCAACAGTGGAACTGGCAGGGAACTTTCTTCTTTCCCCTGCTTCCCAGGACCGTAAGCTCATTGCCTGCTCAATTGGTACTTCATCTTCCATGTCCTAAACAACAGACCCACACAGGGGGTGGGGGTGGGGGTGGGGGGGACAGCGAAAAGGAAAGTTGATTTGCATGTTACTGATGGTGATAAACATTATAAATGCAATTTCTACTGGGAAGCTCCATTTTTATTTAAAGTTGATTCTCCAAATGAAAATACCCCCTGCACTGGGGGTGAAAAATGAGAAAGAAGAATTTTCTGAAAAATATTACTGACGTGACATGCATTTAGACAATGTGTGGTCCACAACAGGAGCCCTGGTGGCTGCAGATGAGGCTGCTACTCCCTAGGGCAGCAGTGGCAAACCACCAACTGCTCCTAGGCAGAAAGATGAGGCTTTCTACTCCTGGAAGGAATTATATAGTCTTGGAAATCCACCGGGGCCGTTCTACCCTGCCCTATAGGGTTGTCATGAGTCAGAACTGACTGCATGGCAGTGAGTTAGGTTCCCAGTTTGAAATATTTGAGTGGATAATTCAATTCTAGGAGTTTGCTCTAAAGAAATAATCAAATATGAACGATAAGAGTTGTGTGTCATGCTTTGTGGCTGCAATATTTTTCTAATGCAAAGCAAAACACACAATTAGAATAAAAAGTCAAAAACATGGACTAGTGAAGTATGATAGTGCTCCTGTCTGAATGTGGGACATTGTGGAGCAATTGCAGGGAGAGTAAATGACATGAAAAATATTCTGTATACAAATGGGAGGGGAAAAGTATACGAAATCTTATTTGCAATTTGGTGTCCATTGGCAATATTCAAATTACTACTAGTGGTAAGATGAAAAGGACTAGCTACTAACAGGAACTCTACTTCAATCATCATTCAAATTCCCTCCGTAGATGTGACCTTGGGAAAATTACTTAATTCATGAGCATCTGTCTCTTCTTTGACTTCCTCCTGCATGTCTTCCCTGGTTTGAGAACCCATTACTCCCCGTTCATGATCCTCCAAAAATTCAAGCCCATTTCTGTTTTGGAGACTAAATTACTGCTTTAGTCATTACCTCTAAGGTTTTAGCATAACTGGTTGCTTCCTATTCTTTAGATCTCAGATCAAGTGTTATGCCCCCAAAGGTCCTGCTCTGACCACCAATAAACTGTCCTCTGACTGCCATTCTAAGCCACTCTTTACCCTATAGCCCTCTGAGGTTGTTTATCTGATTACATATTGTCTGCCTATATTACTGAAATTGAATTCCAGGAGAACAGTAGCCATATTTTTATTCATCACTATACTGCTGTCTCAGAAACTAGAATATTGCCAGGCATATAATAATCATTCAAGAAATATTTTTTAATCATTTTATCGGGGGCTCATACAACTCTTATCATAATCCATACATTGATTGAATCTGGCATGTTTTTACATATGTTGCCTTCATTCTTTCTAGACATTTACTTTCTATTGAGCCCTTGGTATCAGCTGCTTCCCCCCCATCCCGCCCATAACCCCCTGATAG